TTATAATAATAACAACGGGTCCTTTGGCTTCTCTTTTTATATATTATTTTTTATTTTTATATTTAATATTATAAATTTTATATAAATTAAAATAATTAATTATTTAAATGATATCAGATTATTTAAAAATAATAATAATAAAATTATACAAAAATCAATTTTCTAATTAAACAGCCGCAATCATGCGGGCCCAAGTTATCAACTAAACCTAATGGCATACGTGTCAAGCTGAGCTGGCCACTTTCCATATCCCACATCGCTTCAAACAAAATAATGCTTTAAAAAAAAAGAAAAAAAAAGAAGAAGGTAGGACAGGTTCTTCCGGTTGCCGGTCAGTCAGAGGGAGGGGAGGAGGGGAGGTGTTTCTCTGAACCAGGGAGAATCCAAGGACTGACTCTGGACTCGGAAAAACAAGACAAAACTAAACAAAGACTTACAAATAACATAACGTCTACCGTTTTTTAATGCATCTCCAAGCAGGTCAGTTTGATCTTTTCTTTCTACCTTCAACCTCAGAATGTGTGTTCTTTTGTTGATTTATAGTGATTTTTTTATTCTAATTTACCCAAAAAGTTTTCAACTTTGTGGTTAGTTTTGACTAAATCTTTTTTTTCTTTTTGCTGTGATTTTGTGTTGGATTATGGTTGTCTTTTCTTTTATAGAGGATTTTGACTAATTTATGGTTGTGGGTTTTGGTCTGAATTCAATTCTGGGAAGCATCCTTTTGTAGTTGAGTTTAAATTCAGATATGGATCTGTGAAGAGAATTTGAAAAACTGGTTGTCCTTGAATTTTGATGTAATCTGCCTCTATGAGGAATTAGTGATTTAGAAAAAAGTTCACAAAGGAGGAACATAAAGCAGATTGTTGAAGGTTTTTACCTTAGTGTTGTGAGAATTGGAGAGTTAGGAACAAGGATACAAGAAGTTCATGATGAGTAGTTTGACTATAGAAAACTTGTGAAGGTCTCATTTAAAAGTTGTTTTGTTTCACAGGTTTGGTAAATGAGCTGTTCCACAATCGATCTCGTGTCTGGCTTACCAATCAAGCTTTCCCATGAACTAGATTATCATATTGAGAAGGAAAGTTGGTTTTATAGAATTTGAATTTGCAAGTGGTGTTGTTTGGTGTTTTTTGTGTAATTATAGTTTTGACTTACTGGCATGGACATTGCCTTAGGTGATGACATTAGCCATCCTTCAACCCAATTCTATAACTCTTACAAAGTTGCAAGCCTTACCGAGACAATTTTGGATGCAACCCAAATATCCAATCTGAAAGATAGGTATGTTCTAGGGGAACAGTTAGGATTGGGGCAATTTGGTGTGATTAGGGCATGCTCGGATAAGTTAACTGGTGAGGTTTTGGCTTGTAAATCCATTGCTAAAGATAGGTTGGTCACACGAGATGATGCATGCAGCATCAAGCTTGAGATTGAAATAATGAGTAGGTTATCAGGGCACCCAAATGTTGTGGATCTCAAGGCAGTTTATGAGGATGAGGACTTTGTGCATTTGGTAATGGAATTGTGTGCAGGTGGGGAGCTTTTCCACCAACTTGAGAAATATGGGAGGTTTACTGAGTATGAGGCCCAGGATATTTTTAAGCATCTAATGCAAGTGGTGAAATATTGTCATGATAATGGCATTGTTCATAGAGATCTGAAACCGGAAAATATTCTCTTAGCAAAAAAATCGTCTTCTTCTCCAATTAAACTTGCAGATTTTGGGCTGGCAACCTATATAAAACAGGGTAAGGTCTCAATCTTTACTCCATTTAATGCGTCTCGAAAGATGACAGCTGCTCTGGACATGAATGTAATGTAAAAAAATTGGTTTCATGTCAGCAGGGCAAAATTTGCACGGAACTGTTGGTAGCCCATTTTATATAGCCCCTGAGGTGCTGGCAGGAGGTTACAATCAAGCTGCTGATGTATGGAGTGCAGGTGTTATTTTGTACATACTTCTGAGCGGGATGCCTCCTTTCTGGGGGAAGACCAAATCAAAAATATTTGATGCTGTCAGGGCTGCAGATCTACATTTCACTCCTGATCCTTGGGATCGAATCTCTGTACCTGCCAGGGACTTGATCACTAGAATGCTTTGTGTAGATCCTTCTAGGAGATTGACTGCTGCAGAGGTTCTAGGTAGGCGAAGCAATTAATGTTTTTCTCTATTGAGTAATGTAATTGTCTTTTAAGTTACTAAGAGAAGTTACTCTTTCGATTTAGATGTCAAATATGATTGCATACTTTTTCCAAGAAAGTAAAACAAGAAAAAGGAAAAAATTATTGTAATAGATACCCTTCTTTCATTGTGAAGTTATTTAGTGGATGATCAAAGCAGGTGGCAATGGTTTAGTTGATAGCATAACCATGTTAGGGCAAAGACATACTCAAAACATGTGTGCACTATTAGACCATCAGGTCATTACTTGTGAGCAACCTTGGACGCATGGAGCTTCTTATGTCATTAAATCATCATCATGTAGGTTCAATAGATCATACTTGCTCCTCTAAGCACCATGTTATAATACTGGTCATTACTCTCTTTGCAGCTCACTCTTGGATGGTGGATGGTGTACAAGCAGCTGTGGAACTGTCTAAACATGACAACTGGAACTGCAGACAGCTGGAGGTAGGAGAATGTTCTGTCTCAATCCCATTCATTTCAAGGAAACAGGATTACAGCTTTAGTGATGGGTCACCTGTGGCCTTTGATAGCAGATTAGAACACTGCACTGCAATCACTTGCAAATCATCATTTTCTTCTTTCTTAGTTGGCAACTCTAGCCCTTATTCTGCATCTGAAGGTTTCTCATTCAGCAACTGCTGTCAATCAAGTTCTCTGGAATTTTTGTCTCCTATTCCATCAATGCCAAGCTTTACATTCTTCAGCCCAAGTTCCATTACTGAACAGCAAAATGTCTCATTGGAAATTATTCAAGCTGACTCGTCAAAAGTTGGTGAAGAATCTAAAGGTATATGTGAACATCTTCTATTCCTTGCTGGTTTACTTTGTTAGAAAATGAAAATATGGGATCTGGTTTGTTAGTTGGTGTTTCTTGTGGTTGAAAAAGTGGCAAAGTAATTTAAGAATGCACCAAATGAGACTTATGAGGAAAGAACAGCCCCAAAAATTTTGCATGAGAAAGACTTTAAGAACTTTCCCATAAAAGGAGATACTTACCATAGAAAATCTAGGTCTAGTTCTGAGAAACACATGGTTTAATAATTTTTTTGTGATCAGTCTTTGCAATAAAAATATATCACAAAGTAAATATTATATTGTCCATGTAACTTTAAGCTGATCAATTTTTGTACATTACAGTGTTGAACTTGGGGAAATTGTTTGTAGTACCGGATTCTACACTTGGTATTAAACAAGAGGCTAGAGAATTGGAACAAAAATCAGAAATTCGAAGGGGAGTGGCCAATGTGTCCCGGCTATCAGGCATCCATAGTAAAAGGAATCACACTATTGGTCTTGGGGAGCTTGACCAGATCAATCTCATAGTGACTGAGTCAGTAATTCGCTGGGCGTCATGCACTCAAATCCCAACTGCACCTTCTCTCAGATTATCTCTGGTGTGCTAGACGTGCCAGGGTGACAGCATAAGATACAATTTTGCTGGAGAAAAGATAAAGCTTTTGTTTTTATACTTGATACCAAGAGAGATAGAGAAAATGTGTCTGGATGAGAACTTCATGCAGGT